CCACCCTAATTGATTGAGGGGTATGTAAATAACAAAGAATATATTTAAGATAAAGTAAGAGTGGGTTCCATGGGTTGGGACTTGGGGACTAAAATGACCACCAGCCGCCCGAGCCCAGGATGAATAAACTAATTTATTTTTATTTACCAGCAACCTGCTAGTTTCTTTTCTTTTTAAAACGTAGCAGTTTACTTGATAGCTAGTGCGCTACCTCAATGAAGACTACTAATTAATTTTTGGTATCTAGGACGCAAACAGATAAGCAGAAATATTTGGCTCTAAAACAAATATTCAGAGCCCAGGGGCACTTACAGAAGTAACTTTCAGAACAGCCAAGCAGCCATCAGAGCATTAAACATAAATATAATTAGCGCAAGGATGGTGCTTAATTGAAAAGCAAAACTGTTTAAGTACGCAAACCAAAATCTTTTTCTACTGAGTCTCAGGCCAAGCAGGAATAGATTAGAACGAAGAAACGGATACCAACCAACGAAAAAGAGCTGCTACGCCGGTGATAGGTTCTGAACCATTTTGTGGGAAAGGGACCAAATCTATCAACGATTGTTCAGAAAAGCAGACTTGGTGACAGTGATGAAACAATAGAATTTACTCACTGGACACAAACAATCCAAAAATTTCTTAGGGCGAGATTTAGAAAGAAAAAAGAACAGAATACATCGAAGGCACGAGGCACTGAAGACTGGCTTGTGAAAAATTACCATCAGCCAGTATGCACAGATTCTGGGAAGAGACATATGAGATCCCAACGCTCGTTTTGACAGATTGGTGCAACAATCCGCAAGAGAAAAAGCTTTGAGACTTAGAAAAAATACAACCACCAAAAGTGCACCTAATAAAAAAATTCATTGATGAAATCGTAGGTTGTGTGCTACAAGTACAGAATGGGATACTATAGCTCTCAGCATGCCGAATTCCCTTGAATCTACACCATCTTCCTGGGATGAAATGTATGTTGAAATTCGAAAACATAATTAGTATATTGCTGGACATCTCTTCCGATCCTTTCAAAGAAAATTATAAATTATAGGTCGATTCTAAATAATTAGTTAATAGTTCTATTATTAAACCACTAAGTATTACGAATTAGTGACTATTCAAACAGACCAGCCGATTACCAATTTCCGGCAAACTTAATTTGTTTTAAACTAACATTAATTAATCAGCTTTTCAAGTGTACACCCATTGAACTGATCGACACTGATCACTTTATGGATCCGTCAAGTCTCGCTGGTTTGCACAGTAATGCTTTCATAGAGTAGTGATTTCAACGTAAGCTCGTTAAAGTAGGCGGACACCTTAAAATCGTTCGATCAGTTCAACATGTCTTTCTTACACCTGCTTACCCGGACAACACGTCCTTACATGCATACGTTTCTCAAATTGTTGTTATATTATTTCGTTTCAGAATTATGGAGTGTATGGAAAAAATTCAAAATATCAAATCCAATAAATAAGTGAAAAACGTCACGTACCGTTAGGTTAGGTGTAATTAGGGTTAGGTACTCGTTATATTAGAGGCAAAATATAAGATTACGGTTACACATCTAAGATTTAAATTTTAAGTGAATATCACAATAAGATGACTCAATAGTTCATGCAGTAGTTGTGGCCATGTTGAAATAACTACAATATATTTTTTTTACGAGGGTTCGCAACAGCAGAGTTATCAACCCTCGGCGTGCCGGTGTTTAAAAAAAGAAAAAAAAAACATTTGTAGGTATGTCGGGTTCGAATGCAGGGCCGCTGGATTCGAACCCGGGACCTTTACCTAACAGTGATGAATGCCGTGTCAACGCCTAAATCGTTGCGGCCACCGACGCCCCTTAATTTCCAAATTTTCTTACCAAATTACCTTAGTCGACGGAAGGTTTGCATGTGTGTGTTTGTCAAAGGTTTCTCATAGAAGCACAAACAGTTTAAACTACAGATTCGGGTGTGTCTTAATGAAATGTCACTCCTTCTCTCATCCGCAAACAAATTATACAATTATCCTATTCTTAACTCGCTTTCTAAACGGTTGATAAACCGAACCATTTGTTTTACAATCAAGGAGTTCAAATGGATCTTGTCTCGGCGAAATAAGGTTAGTTCCATCTCACGGTAAGCAGAGGCAATCGAGGACAACAAAATGCCGATATAAGCAACTAATTGGTTCCATTTGACTGACTGATTGACTTTGTGTTTTGGCACCGACGTCGTCTTTGGAATAAGGTTAATCAACGTCGTTGTGATTTATGTCTTGGCTCTCACTTCCACCATGCGATAATTAATTCGTTTCACATTTCCCATTTTCATCCGACGAAAAAGAATCAGTGGTCAAATTCTTGTCTTACCGCCGATAGAATCATTATTTAATGTCTAGGATTAACGACATAATGGCTAAGAAAGACCGTTTGTTGATAGTAAACGGAAAATCCACGATTAAAAAACGTTTTTCTCGATTTATCGTCAAGCGTGAGAAATTTTTGCCTATGCATCTATACACATTCATTTACACACCGGTCATAAAGTAGTGCTGCATTTATTAATGTCCAATGGTTGTAATGTATAACAAATAGCACAAATAGGCGGCCTACGCTTCTTTTTGTACATATACCAGATTGTGCTCCTTTGCGGTGATTTATGATCTAAAACGTCAGCTTATAGCAGTCCATATTTTAACATAAACTATCCTCGTGCGTCTTTATTTTCATAACCCCCTAATAAACTTGTTTTATTCTCCTAAACTGTTATTTTTTATTGTTTCCGATCAGTTCGGTTTATCTACTCTGTTTAGGTCACAATTCATCTTCTCGCTATTTTTATGTTGAAAAATTATACTAAGTATAGGCATAAGCGATCTAATCGAACAAAATAATCGAGAGATGTGTATTATATTATTAATTTTCTTCGGTAATCCTTCAGTTAAAGCTAAAAGAAAGACAACGAGAAAAATTAGGAAGCACGGGAATGACAATTAAAAAAGGGGTTGCCTCCTTAAGCCAATTTAAAAATTAATAAACAATAATTGTTATAAACTTTTATAAATAAAGAGTACTAATGTATCTGTTCTTTGCCTAGTGCATAAAATAATACAGCATACAACAACAGCTGGGTCATAGCCGGCCTTCTGCGTGGTTTTACTTCTTTTTCTTGTCTTTTATGCGTATTTTTCAACCTGTAGTCATTTGTGCGACTTGATCTGTTACTGACTCTCTCCTTTTATATAACACTAAGTCGATATCCAAAAATGCCTCCAGATAAAGACAAACAACAACAAACAAAGACAAAGCAAACCTACCTAAGAGAATGGTTCAATTCCGTGGTTCCATATAAAGAACGCATGGAAATGCCACCCGATGTGAGAATTGCGCTTTAGGACGGCAGGAATTATCCCGAGCTTCTTTTCCGATTCTTGGAGGAAACAGGGTCGATTTATTGAATGTAGTAATGATAGTTTCGTATCCCTAGCTTGTGATGAGAGTGAGTGTATATATTAGCGTGAATATTGAATACTGACGAAATATTGAATATTCCATCGAACCTCAATTAGGTTAGTTCTATAATAGGCTTAAAGGGTGATGGAAAAATATCAAGTGCACCACCACCCTGAGTGAATGGTGTCTATCGGAAGTAATAAGTAAGAGCTAGAGAGAGTGTGTCTGGAGCCCAACTGCGGCTGGACGGATAAGACTAAGGTCTGACCCCGGAGTGGGTGATACTAGAAGCCTGACGGTATTCCATTCTAAAGTACATAACCTGGAATTGCCGGTTGACGCTGAGAAGAGATAGGTTCAACTCTGTACACGCTGTATGTATGTAGATGCAGGTTTGAGTTTATACAAATCAGAAAATCAGTATTTACAGAAGTTGAACAAATAGTAAAACTACAATAATGGGCCAAAAAGATCATACCTGTTCCCATATTTCTGACGATTCTAAAATTTGGGTTAGTATTACATTGGGACGATTGGGTTATAATTAAAAATAATGTTTGGTGTATAGTGACCGTTAGCCAATGATTATTCGCAGATCGTGAAATGCGGTCTGGTGTCACGTAGGTTTTAGAAAAATATTTTCTTTATCGTTCCTACGTTTCGATCTTTATTGAGAACATCTTCAGGGCTTAGGATTTATTAAAAATCCTTTTAAATTTTACAAATATATGTAAATACATTGTATAATTTTTTTCCACATCCTACTTGTATTTGTAAAATTTAAACAATGTTTATAAATCCCAGGCCCTGAAGATGATCCCAATAAAGATCGAAACGTTGGCACGATAAAGAAAATGTTTTTCTAAAATCTACGTCACACCAGACCGCATCTCACGATCTCCAAATTATCATTAGAAATAATAAAGGATTAATGATATGATACGAGAGATTGTTACGATATTTACCTGTCAATTTATATTTAGTTGTAGATTAGATTAATCAATATACCGTCAGATTTTAAATGTTTTTCGCCAAACGAACACCTCACTCCGTTTATTCTAGCTGTCGGCCCTTGGAAAACATAATTAATTATTAAATTAATCCATATTTGCTTAATGATCATAATTGACCGTATTAATTATTCTTTTTATCTAAGGTTTTTGGTCGAGATGAAAAATTAGTGTCAAGAGCGGGATTCGTTCCCACGACCTTCGGCTCAATACGGCCCTGCTATAACCATTTAAGCTACTTCTTGCGCCTCGCGGCGTATTGAGCCGAAAGTCGTAGTTCGAATCCCACTCGTGACACTAATTTTTCATCTCAACCAAAAACCTTAGATAAAAAGAATAATTAATTTGAATAATTATTAAGTGTGACGTTGAATTCGTGGCAATAATAAAAAGAGTTTATTGAACATACATATTTTGTCGAAATGGCATAGAAAACTCAAAAAATAATAATAAAACTGTTCTTTTCAAATAATAGCTAACCGTAAAAATAATAAAGCCATTGAACGGAAGTTATCAAATAATGATTAGCATGTTTGTTGTTTCTTTTTTTCAGATCCCAGCACAAAGACCAGCTCGTGACTTAATAATGGACGAAGAGATCCGCAGCAGGAGAGAATCCGACAGCCTTCTTCCCGGGACGACGTGGCACGGGATCAGGCAAGGAGGTGTCACAGAAAAGCGAAACGTGCACCACATCAAATTGGGCATCGCGTCAGGGAACAACAGAGGATATTCTAGGAAAAACGACGGCACATTTTATTCGTCTTAAACTAAATTGCTCAAATATAAAAGCTCTGTCGGAACTAAACTTGTCTTGTTTTTGCCTTTTTCTCTTTGATGAATATTTAAAAAAATATATATGGGACCACCCACGGATCAACAAAAATTTTGTGTCTTCGCCGTATTTTTCGTTTACTCTCATAGAATTTCACAAATCTCCCCGCCTTCCCCAGGGATTTTTAACACTTTAACAATTTATAGCCTTGGGCCTGCGATATATCAGAAAAGAATCCTTGGCTATTTAGGAATGTTTCAACCATTAAATTAAAAGAAACGACCCATCCCACAGTTTTTTACATCGGAGGGTGTATAAATTTTAAAAATTAATTTATTCTGTTAATTATTTTTCTAATAGTTATACAAATTTGCAAACCTCATCTAATCAATTCAATGAAACCGATCCTATCCCAAGGAAATAATTCAAAAACACTATATATCTTATAATTGAAATATTTGTTGATCATAACATAAATTAAACATTCATCTATGGTTATAAGTATTAACGAACTAAACATCATTTTTAAAGATTGCATTGGCGCATTTTGAAGAATAAACAAATTTCAAGGTATGACCATTTGTCCTCCTCAATTCATGACCTACAAAAGGGGGGTGGTCATTGTTGAAGTGTTTGGGTAAGTGTTGTGGTGAGATGACACAGTGAACCCTCCCTCGCTAATCCCTATCGCTCCCCTGAGTTTTACCCGGTTTACCTATTAGCAATCAATTTTAAGCGACAAAGAAAAACGAAAAGCCATCTAATTGCGAAGCTATTCGGTGATTGCAATCCTAAAGAAGAAATCATAGCTTAATCATTTTCACTCTCTGAGTTACGGTCTTGGCACAACTGTCTTTTTAGGCGAGGAAGACCGTTTAGAAAAGATCGGGAGGAATCCGTGGGGATTATTGTCAGATTGGAGGTTAGTATGGAATCTTTTTTTTATCTCTCATAGTATGCAGCCGTATGTCTATATTGGTATCGGTATTGAGTCACTTTGGTAGAACCATTTTTCACAAAAAGACAATCTCCACACTCACCTTACCATCATCATTGAGTTATGTGAGTATTTTGTTGTCAAGGAAGCGTTTAGATCTGTTTTTAGAAGTTTTTTAAGTTATCGGTATCGAGGGTTCTTTGAAGTATGTATGATGTTTAGTGACCGTTAGTTAATGATTATTTGGAGATTGTGAGATGCGGTCTGGTGTGACGTAGGTTTTACAAAAATTTCCTTTATCGTGCTAACGTTTCGATCGTTATTAAGATCATCTTCAGGGCTCAACGTGTTTGTTTTCCGTGAAGATATGCCATTCTATTGTGTCGTGTTGAGAGTGATGACTGTTGAGTTGCTGACACACAGCTAATTCTTTCAGGGCTGCTTGGCTAGGTATAGCGGATAGGGATAAAAGAGGCGGCCACAATGCCTACTGCACCTCGACTTGAATAGATCTATTGTGCTCCCCTGTTATTTATGGCGAGCTTCAGGTTAATAACCAGCCAACACAGCTTTGCATTCCTTGGTATAGGATCTTGCTTGTGGTTTTTCTTGTCCTATTTGCAAGAACCTGCACCTACATAGACCTTCATAGGAACCTAAAATATGTTCTGCGATCTCATCCTCTTCCTGGCAGTATAGCAGTATATGCACAGTGCTTCTTCTGGCTGCACTCCTATCCGGTGCATGTCTTTCTTAAGTGGTAGTGCTCTGTCAGGAGTCCAACCAGTATCCTGGTTTGGTTGCGGTTGCCTTCCAGTAATTCTTTTGTAAGTTTTGCAGATGGTCCATCTATGAATCTCTTCGCGTGCCTCGTACCTCTCGTACTGTTCCACCAGGTTTTGGACTCATCAAGGATCCACTTTAAGACGTATCCTCTTTAAGACAGGCTGCAGGGATAGCTCAGTGGTAGAACATTCGACTGCTTGACTAACATTTGGCATATATGCTTTCAGCTTTAAAGACCGAGGTGTTGACAAAGGTTTATTGATGGGAATATTGATCTCTATCACACCCTAAGTTTGGGACCAATGAACTTTATCTTAATTTCTTGACGCGCAAACAATCAAATCAATCCTTCATATTTATTTGCAAACAAAATAATTTAAAACGCTTTTGTCCTATTTTTTTATAAGGCGAAAGAAAGTTTATTTTCATGTATTGATTTTGTCTATTCAAAGGGGAAAAAGTAGTTAAGCTCGAAGAAAATCATCGTGAAAAGCTTTGTGGTCAGTTGTAAATATGGGTTGGCTTATCAGTTTAATGCAAAACTACAGAAAATTTTTTTAACTAATACCTGATGTATTTATGAAAATGATATAACGAAAACACACATTAAGAAATCAATTTTATTTGTATAAATTATCAAACGTGTTCTCAAATAATTTATGAAGAATTTTAACAAAAAAAATCGTCATTTCCTTCTTTCTTACCGATAGTTTATATATAAATTATGTACTAACCTAGTATAATACACTTCATTTTAATTTGCTGCTGTGCTGATAATAAATAATCTTGAACGTTAATCAATTTATTTTAAATTATTCCTATTTAATATCATTTTATTTAATCTTCTATTGACTCTGTATTGACCAAAAGCATTTGAGCTTTGACAGTTTTATTGATATGTGTATGTAAATACAATTTTTGAATTAACGATTTTTTTCGTTTATATCCCCCACCAATTACTTACAACAGTACAACAGTGGAAATTCCAAAGGATCTAAGTGCCTTCTGTTATTTTTTTTTCAGGAAAGCAGTAAAACTGCGTAAGTCAAACGGTAACTCAAAAACTTTACTGAAATGTATTTGATTGGCAATAAAGGAGTATATGTATATTCTTCCGCAGCTAGTGCAATGAAAAACAAAAACAAACTACTTAATATGCAAAAAAACAAAATTAGAAATTGAAGAAACGTTCTATGTACCGTGGTACGTAGAACTCTTTGAATAAAAATTATATTAACTTTTTAGCAGTTTCTGGCAAAAAAATCCAACATGGCAAAGAAATCATTTTTCTTGCCATCCGACAGGAATGGCTTCTGAATCAAGACATTTTTTTAATGTCTTCATGTTTACCCCCTTTTTTAGTACATTAACATGTTTCCGCAAGTCTGTGTCAATGAATGTGGTCTTATACTGGATAAAACCTGGGTCATCTTTGGAAACTTTTATCATAGCAGCCTTTGTAGTTGGAACATTTACTTTTAATTATTCAGATATCGTGAAATGCGGTCGGGTGTGATGTAGGTTTCAGAAAAACATTTTCTTTATCGTGCCAACGTTTCGATCTTTTATTGAGATCATCTTCAGGGCCTGGGATTTACAAACAATGTTTACATTTAACAATTACATTTAGGATGCGGAAAAGTGAATTTATACAATGCAAAATATATTTTATATTCAAACAATATTTTGCATTGTATAAATTCACTTTTCCGCATCCTAAATGTAATTGTTAAATGTAAACATTGTTTGTAAATCCCACGCCCTGAAGATGATCTCAATAAAAGATCGAAACGTTGGCACGATAAAGAAAATGTTTTTCTGAAACCTACATCACACCCGACCGCATCTCACGATATCTGAATAACTATCGATTAACGGTCACTAATCTCTACACATTTACTTTTAATAAAGAGTCACAGGAGTGTTTTAAGTCTAGAAATTACGAATGTTCAATGTTAACTACGGAGACCGGTTCCCCTGTAACTTTAGCTAATGCCAGAACATTTTTTAAGTCTGTCCGCGTGAAACATTTAGTAACCCTTTCCCTCTTTTCATTAATGGCGAGGTCTCCATCACATCATAAAATGCTATGACCACTTATTAGAAATTTCTGAACAATCTCTTCAAAGTGTCAAAATTGTACGGAAAACGTCATTAAAAAAATAAGGGTGCGGTTTTTATTTTGGCCTGCACAATTATCTTAGCACATAACTAGTTTCTTTCTGCCGAAAATGTCATATGAATTCACTAGACGTAAAATGCAGGATCCAACTTCTGATTCTCCGTCTGGCTGATACGCTATGGCACATAGAACCTTTGGAAAAATCATATGTCCCATACTTCGACCAGGCCATCTAACTTTTAAAGAGGTTTGGCACTTAGAACATTATTAGTATTATTGGCGATGGCTCAGAACAGATTACGAAAAAATCTAAGTTTTGAGGAAATTGGCATTTAGAGCGTTAGGAAATTTCACTCTTCAAATATTTAACTCAAACTCAAGAAATGATCATTTACCGTTATACTGTTCTATATGTGCTATAAAATTGATTACTTAAGGAAGATCTTGTTTAATAATATAAATCAAAATTGAAACATTTTTTTGCTGTACATTCGTGATCGGCGGTAATTGGTTTGAAAATGTGTTTAGTGTCAGATGGATAGGAGAAAGCAGCGGCCAACTCCTTTTTTCCTTCGTTTCCTCGAATGTTATTGCTATTGTTCTCCGGATATATATTTATCGCACGTTTGAGGGTACAAGGCGGCTGGCATGACCGGGAAGACCTCGCGCCAATTCAAACAGCCTTTTGTCGGGTAAAAACAACAAACGAATATTTTATTCATTTGAAGCTTTCCCTCACGATTGATAACCGTCGTTGAAAGACAGGGTATAGTTGACAATAAAAGGAAGTGAGAAACTGGGTCCACTTTGAAACATGGCCTACGCGACTAATTAAAAAGTAAAATTAAGCTGTTTAAATAGAAATAAATAAATTAATTAAAAGTGTAAAACATTTCAAAATTTATTTTTATAAAAATGTGAGTTTTATCAATTCAGATACACTTTAACAAAGAATGATGCTTTCTGCATCGACCATTTTTCATCCAATATTCAAAGAAAAGCGAACGAATTAGTTTTTGCATTGCTGTGTAAAACAATGTATGCCCATAATATACAAAATATATATTCACATAAAAATATACATATTATACCTGTTTATAATTTTGTTCAGAAAAAATTGTATTCTCCAATATCAGTCCGATAAAAGTAACAGTTACGATGTGGGCTGGCGTTGTAAGTCATTCAGTC